AAGATCGTTTTAAATTCTAATCCTGTTCTCCACAGTGCTTGCAACCCCTCCCAACTTGGTGTCATCTGCAAATTTTATAAGCATACTCTCCACTGCACTATCCAAGTCGTTAACGGAAATATTGAGTACTACCAAACCCAGGATAGACCCCTGCAGGATCCCAGATAAATTCCCCCCGATGGACAGAGATCCATTGATAACTACAGTAACTCCTCACTTAACGTTGTAGTTATGTTCCTGAAAAATGCAACTTTAAGTGAAATGATGTTAAATTAATCCAATTTTCCCATAAGATTTAATGTAAATGTGGGGGGTTAGGTTCCAAGGAAATTTTTGGGGGGCAGACAAAAGGCATTGTGTACTGTACAGTGGTCAGGAGGTGCCCCTGGCTTACCCCACACAGTCACAGCCCGCTGCAGGCAAGGATGCTAGGAAGCAACTTGCACAGCAGCAGCCGCAGCCTCCCCCCAGAAGAACAGGTGCCGACTTTGCCGGGGGATGCTCCAGGCCTGCCTCTTCCCGTTCCCTGCTCCACGCCACGCCCACCTCTTCCCCCCGCCACTCCACCTTCTCTCTGGAGCATGCTGCATCCCTGCTCCTCCCCCTCCTTCCCAGCGCTTCCCTGCTGCCAAACAGCTGTTTGGCGTCAGGAAAGCACTATGAGGGAGGGGGAGGAGGCGGAGAAGAGGAACTTGTGCAATGCTCCCTTGTAAAGTTGCTGCTCTTCCACAGAATCCTACAAGCAGTGGACAGAGCAGGCAGCCAAACGACGTTATAAGGTAGCATTGCACAACTTTAAACGAGCATGTTCCCTAATGGAGCAGCGACGTAACTTTGAAACGACCTCAAGCAGGAGGACGTTAAGTGAGGAGCTACTGTAATCCCTGAGTATAGTCTTTCAACCAATTTTGCACCCACCTTACAGTAATTTAATTTAGCCCACATTTCCCTAATTTGCTTATGAGAAAGTAATGTGGTACTTTGCCAAAAGCCTTATTAAAAATCAAGATATATCACATCTACAGCCTCCCCCTATCCACTAGGCTAGTAAAAAAAAGACGGCAATTAAGTTGGTTTGGCATTATTTTCTCTTACAAACCATGCTGGATATTCCTTAATAATGCAATTATCTTATAGGCGCTTACTAACTGATTATTTGATAATTGGTTCCAGTATCTTTCCAGCTATCGAAGTTAGGCTGACCCATCTCTAATTCCTCAGTTCCTCCCTCCTCCTCTTTTTAAAGATAGGTACTATGTTTGCCCTTCTCCAGTCCCCTGGGACCTCACCTGTTCTCCATGAGTAATCAAAGGTAATTGCTAATGGTTGCGAGATTGCTTCAGCTAGTTTCTTAAGTACCCTAGGGTGAATTTCATCAGGCCCCACTGCCTTGAATACATCAAACTTATCTAAATATTAAGGCTGTCGATTAATTGCAGTTAACTCACGTGATTAAAAAAATTGCATTACAGTACTTGTATTAGGTGAATTGAAAAATACTATTGTTTTGTTTTTTTACCGTGCAAATACTTGTAATAAAAAATAAATATAAAGTGAGCACTGTACACTTTTTATTCTGTTGTAATTGAAATCAGTATATTTGAAAATGTAGAAAACATTCAAAAATATTTAAATAAATACAGTGCAATTAATCATGCGATTCATCGCGATTAGTTTTTTTAAATCGCTTGACAGCCTTACTAAATATTTTTTTTAACCTTTTCTTTCCCTATTTTGACTTGTGATTCTTTTACTTGGTTTTTAATATTAATTGTGTTAAGTAGCTGGTCACAATTAACCCAGAGGTATTATACTAACACCATGACACTCCTCTTTAAAAGCAAGAAACATTGTGAGGGCAGATATTGAAAAGCCCTTTTTTTCTCATGACAGGTTTTATGCATACAAATCCTAGTCTGGTAACCTCATATTCCCTTATCACTGAGGCTCTAAAAGTCTTGGTGGGGAAGGGCCACACCAATGGAGTCTATTTACTGATGATCAGTAATGCATTAGCTTGCTTCATCTGGACTATTCACTTCTTGGCACTTGTGCAGCTTTGCACTGAAAGTCTGCAAAAGTGTTGTTGAAAAGGCTTCTGATCATTGCATTTCTCTTACAATGGTAATAAAACTATGAAATATTTTACCTACTATAATTCTACCCTGAAGTGGTAAAATGTACCCTCTCCTAGGGTCTGATCCTATGAGGTGCTTAGCACCCTTTTATTACCACTCACTCAGTGTATTCAATCAATTTTAGGCTCCAGTCAGAACTCGCTGCATAAGCATTTCCTACTTGTCTTTTCTACCCCAGTCCTGCTGCTGCATTAAAGTGATTGAATACTCTAGGGGGGAGAATTTGAGGGGCATATTCTCAATTGTATAGACCACGACACAGCCACAAAGCTCTCCTTAGCAAGAGTAACAAATGGTTGCCTGAAGGGAAAGAACACACCATCAAGTTGTTCTGTTTACCTGGTGTCTTATTTTATAGTCTCTCTTTAGCAAGGGTTGATATTTTCCATATACAGAATCTTGTACATGAAGAATTTGATTCCTGCCACTTATCCTTTGAAAGAATGTTTGTAATTATTTCATAGGCTTACTGATTATATTTTTATAAGAGTGACATTGTCCAGTAGTTTGGGCCTAAAATTCAGGATTTGTTTTTTAATACACATTTATAAAACCCATTATTTTAATGATTTCTTTTCAGTTTTCTATTTGAATGTAAACATTGTAACATTATGCCAGAAGGGGAGGTAAAAGTGAAACTGACAAATCAGCTCTTTAGGGCAGGAACTGTCACATATTGTGTTCATCAAGTGCCTAACATAGTATGACCCAACCTGATTGTGGCTTTTAGGTGCTACCACAATATAAATGTTAAAGTTTTCATTGTCCAAGCTTAATGAAGCAAATAAACATGGATGTTGCAAAGTACATTAGATTGTAAGATGTTTTCAGTTGTAATCTATTTTATTGTTGGTAACGTAGGTAAGAAACATGCTGAGAGGTTGTTTTTAACTTGAGAATATCCCTTGGAGAACACAAGTAAATCCTAATTTTACAAACATCTTGGGGGATGCAAAACTTCCATATAATTGGAAGTTGGGTAAAAATTGAGGGGAATACTATAGCCTAACTGGGGAGATGTAGGATTTGGGATAAAAAGGATTTTAATAAACTTCATAAAATTGGTGGAGTAGCTATCAAGCCTTTATTTGCTTTAAAAATATGACTTCAAGTAACTGGCACTCACAGTGCATACATTTTACTTCTGCAAAGTGACAACCACCTGCAGTGTCACTACAGTAGAAAAAGGACAATGATGCTAGCATCTAGTTCCTTTTAATATTAAAAAGGAAACCCCAAAACTAAGAATGCTTCTCTGAAAAATCAGCCATGTTCCCTACACTGTCTCTTTCACATCCTTAATACGACCAAGCACAAGGACTGCCAATACCACATGTCAGAGCATGCATTCATGGATCAGTTTGAACTGACATTTAGCTTTCCTCACAGCACTGAGTTTCCAAATGAGGGAGTGTCATTTACAAGTGTTAAATTCCAACACATCCCTCGACTCACTTATTTAAGAATCTACTGGTGCTGTAGCTAGTAATAGTAGTATTGCCATCCCCAAGTTTTCAAAAATCATGAACCAGGCCCCCCCAAAATCATGAGATTGGCTTAAAAAAAAATCAAGAGATTTAGTAATATAATTTTTAAAATTGTACTGAAGTTTTTATTTGCCCCCTGCGCCTTTAGGATTTATTTTTGCCAGATTTTCTCCACAACCATGAGGCTTAGAAACATTAGAAGCAGATCCTTGGCTGGTGTAAACAGTCATAGCTGGAGCAAAGGATCTACTTCCTTCATTTAAAAAAGAGTAAGCTGAGATTTTTCCACGTACTCACATGACTCCAGCAGCTGGAGCTTTAAGAAAAAGCAGCAAATATCCCAAGAGTTGGTGACATTGTCAAATTTATCCAAAACATAAAAAGTCAGTGCAAGTTTTAATTAATCTATGGAATCGGAGCAAAGAAACTGACTTAGCAGAAGGAAAGATAGCACTGATTGGAATTCAGAATTCGTGATCCGTGGGCTCAGAGGATCAATATTACTTTGAAAAAGTCTGTTCCTGTGAGTGCTAATGTATTTGCCTCTTGCTTTATTGTTCACTGGGGCACTGGGTTTTAAAAGCTAGAATTGGAAACAGAATTGTTTTCAAACCTAAGGACTTGTTACCTCTCTTGAGTGCTGCTCAGGCTGCCTTGTCTACACAGGAAATTTGCCCCCGTTACAGCTGTCAGTGACCAGCTCTGATACAGCTGCACTGAGGCAACCCCTAGAGCAAAACAGGCAAAGATGCTATATAAACTAGGATGTGCACAGTGGATTTTAATCCTGCTTAAAATCAGAGTAAATTGCACCAGTGCAAATAATAGTTCATAGCAGCTTTGCCTGCCTACGTTTTGTACTGCTGCAGCTACACTGGTGGCTGGACTCTCCTGCATAGTAAAGACCTTAGATGCAGATAAAGAATATTACAGCTTGGGAGAGTGCCTAGTTAGAGCCAATTGTAACCTGCCTGCCCTGCCTTGCTATTACAAGCCCTGCTAAAAGCCACTCTGCCCGTGAAAGATGGGAATTTTATTTCTTTGTCTGGTTTGGGAAGGTCGCCGTTTTTACAGATCTGCATTTAATGATCACTCAGCTACAATGATGAAAACTGGGATTACCCCATCAGCCCTTCTCGCTCCACTGTGCCTGAACTCAGTCAGACTTGAAAGAGTCTTGGGGCTGGACTACACTGGGGGGAGGGGGGAGGAGAAGGGGAAGAAATCTATCTAACTTATGCAACTTCAGCTACATGAATAACGAAGCAGAAGTCGACATACTTAGACCTACTCACCGCGGTGTCTTCACTGCGGTGAGTCAACTGCTTCCGCTCCCCCGTGGACTCTGCCTGCGCCTCTCATGGCACTGGGAGTACAGGAGTCAATGGGAGAGCGTTCGGGGGTCGATTTATCGTGACAGAACTAGACGCGATAAATTGACCCCTGCTGGATCGATCGCTACCCACTGATCTGGGGGGCAGTGTAGACATACCCTTAGTTCAGGGAGTTTGGGGCTTGGGTGATCAGCTTCAGGACTGTTCACACACTAAATATCTGCTCTACTTCTCAGATTGAAAAGAGGAACAAATGCTGATTTTGGGCCTCTTTTACTTGAGTAACAGTGCTGACATTGTCCACCAACCTTCAGTTTCATATCCTCAATGCTGTGTGTGTGTTAAAACTGTGCTTCTTAAAAAGTTTTTTAAAAATGTTTCTAAAGTTAGCTGACTACAGTAAAATTTGTCAAATATAAACAAAGTGCTGTAAAAGGTAAAACACTTTAAACTCTGCACCACCCAGTCTAGAATTATCAGATTAAATACGATTCAGCAACAGCCAAAGTTTGCTCTGCTAGAAGCTCACTTCCTCACTTTAGAGTTCTTTTTTGTTTTTAACATCTGCGTTAATGTCGCGGCTGCACACACTTCAAGTCAGAGTACATGCCAAGACGACTGATTGCTTTATAAAAAGAAGGCAAGTTTCCCCATCTACAGCAGACGCTGTTTAGATTCAAAGTTAGCAGGACATTTCTTATGTTTCTTTTCAGTTTGCCATTTGTTCTAAATCACGATTTCTATATAGAGTGAAGATTTTGTTCACATTACAAAAGGACACAAATGCATTTCTACATCTACAGTTACTCAGACTGCAATGGAGAAAATATTGACATTTGTTAAACTTAAACAATTACACAGCATTCAGTAGGAAAAGGTGCATTAGACACACTGACTTACTCTCCAGAGCTGCTTTTTAAAGGAACACCATTGAGTCCTTAAAAAAAATAAAAAAATCTTGTTTTCTATTTCAGCATTACCCTTTTAGAAGCTTTAGGACAATATTCATTTTGTGGCCACTTTTTGTCACAAAAACCTGATTTTCCTCCAAGTGTCAAAGCGTGGGTGCTTTCCTTAATTCTTCTGCTTTCTGCATTCACATTACTGATGGCAGCAGGAAAGGGCACAGAACTGAGAAAGTGTTTGTTACTTAACTGTTGCAGGTCTCATTGGGAGAACAGGATAGGAAATTTACATTTTGTTCTGTGTACAATACCAACATGTTGGCTTCTCAAAAATCTCGGTAAAAAAAACTGGTGGATTTTTTTAAAAATCAAAAGAAGATAGCTATCTAGATACCTGCACATTTCTCAAGAAGATCAAATGGTGGGCCCATGAACATCAGCAGCATCCCTGTTGTCAAGAGATTCACTTGGCAGGAGGGCTAGGAATGGCTGAAGTTGCATTCTGTATAGGAAACCTTTGTCCAACTTCAGTGGAAACTGAAAAATTGAAGTATTGGGTTACTTGAAACCTTTCATGGATACTCCAGACACAGCTCCTGTCTGTAGCTCTAATGCCAACCTGTTTTGCCATTACCCAGAGTTAAATGGGCAATAGGAAAGTCAATGCATTTCTACAGGTTCCCCTCAGAAAGGGGACATATCACAATAAACTCATGGGGAGACAGAAAAAAAATGGTGTTCCTTTACATCATTGGAACTTGGAATCGCCTCTACCATCAGGTATCTTGTCTGATAGTCCAGCAAACATGTGCATGATTAAAACAATGGAAAGATCATGTGCTTATTTAAGACACACCTTTTCAATATAAAAGTACTCTGGATCAGGGCAAGCCCTTTTTTGTACAGACTTGGCTGGATTGACAAACCTAACTTGCACTCCAATTCTGCAATTAACAGCAGCCCATTTTGTGTATGCACATTGTTGTCCCAGAGATGATGGCCTTGGAGACAACCATAGTTGAGCTTCATCTTCGTCACTTGGAAGCCAGGTTTGTATTCTGGGAAAAGCAGTTCTTCTTTAGACAAAAGGACACCCATGGAAGGAGTACACAACAACAGGAATGAGAAACAAAAAAAAAAGGAAGAAACCAACACCACAACACACATTCCTTTCAGGTTTTGTTCTCATCGTACATGTCCAAGGCAGGTTGGATTGTTGAGAATTCACTTTCATAGACCAGGCTCCGAGGAGACAAAGAATTGCGATGAAAGAAGTGACCACCTACAAGAGGCAGAACAAAGAAATAACCCTGTTAGGAATTTGTACATATGGCTATAAAACACCACAGGGATTGAGCATGCAAGATCTTGTTTGTGGTTACCTATTCTCTTGCACCTGCCCCAATTCTAATCAAGAACATATATACTCCTAAAAATTAACTTCCTTTTAAAGAAAATCTGTAACAGTTTGTAGTATGAAGTGGCAGAGGAGACAAGTGTGAGGAAACCTAACCTTTGCTGCATCATCATTATTTTAGGGATGCATGTGGACAGGGAGGGAAATATTTATACCTCAGGTGTCAGAGCTGCAGGTGTGGTCCTCTTGTAATTCAAGTGTTCTCATGCTACTTTCCTTCTGCTCAGGACCATGGTCTATGCTGTGTGTAAGAAGGTAAACAGCTGTCCATTGAGGATTGGCCTATGGCCAAACTAATTTTCTCCGTTAGGAGATAACAGACCAAACAGGCTTCTTAAAAGTCCCCCCCCTCCCCCTCCTTTTGGTAATTAAAAAGAAAAAGCTAGTTTTGCAAACTCATCTGGGAAGACATTTTCTGTAAGAGCTGAAATGAGGAAGAATTGTGTGCTTATCAAAATGAAGGCCTAATAACAGTATTGGCTGGAGCCAGAAATAACGTGGACCGGCGCCATGTGAGCTTCCTCTTGCATAGCTCTGACAATACACCACAATCCTGATCTGCAGCAGCCTTGCTAGTTCTAGTCCTGAGCCGAGTGTGCGAATGGTGCTGAACTGCTCTGTGGTTTTGTGACAAACCTCTACTAAGGAATACAGCAGATGGAGACTGCCAAACATTCCCCTCCACTTCTGACTTAAATCACAGTCAATCCCAGGTCTTCACTTGCTAGTATACTAACCCATTCAATTCTCATTTGAAGGTGAATGCTCCTGATAAAGGGGGGAAAGTGTTTGTGAATAATCTAATACCTCAATCTGCTGCAGTGTGAAAAACTGTTAAATTCCACAGCGTCAAGTTGCTGACTCTGCCAATAAAGCTTATATCTACACACACCCCCAGTGCTGGAATAGGGACAGACCAGTCAATATGATTATTGAATTATTAGTGCTCAGTTTGTGGATTTGAATCCTATCCCAGACTTAAGCTTTCTGGAACTGTGCAATGCTGTAGTAAAAAGACAGATGTATTTATCTACATGGATCTGCATAGGCTTACAACTCCCAAAGAGATCACTCTCCAAACAAACCCCAACTCCACTATGAAACGCCTACTTAGGAACCACTAGGGATAAATTTGATATCAGAAGTCTCCTGCATTATGTGCCTGGCCCAATGTCACTATGCATCAGGTGCATTTAGATCTTGAGAAGGCTGCATCCCATGTTACCCTGGTGCTGAAATGAGCAATGAGTAATGAATGCTTCATTTCCTCTCTCCTCCCACTGAAGTGTTACATATTGTACAAGCAACGCAGAAGCAACACAAAGGGACTCTAAAGACTGAATGCTGCTCCTATTTGTTTTTATTGCACCAAATCAAACAAGGGATTAGGAAGCAGACACCCTAAGCAATCAGTGTGCGAGAGAGAGAGAGAGAGAGAGAGAGAGTGAACCTTTTCAATACA